CGCTCCCCTGCCACAGAGCCGGGTGTCCCTGTTCCGCCTCCCTTAGTGCAGGGCCGGCTCTAAGCACCAGGAAAGCCCCCAGTCCCACTCCGCTCAGGCCTCTGTCAAAAAAGGGGGGCGGCCAAAAGTTTTTTTGCTTGGGTTGGCAAAAAACCTAGAGCCGGCCCTGGGCTGAGGGCTTCGACTGGGGGTGCACGCTTTACACTGAAGTTGTCATGATGGTTTTAGGGCTCCAGGCAGAAGCCAAGGGGCTTGCAGTGCGGGAGGGTCCTGAGGGTTGGGATAGGGAGGGTGTTCTGGGACAGCTCTTTGGGTCCCAGCCAATGGGAGTGGGGGTGGAGCCTGGAAGTGAGGGCAGAGACTGGACAGAGCTTCCCCTGGCGCTCAGGTGATGCGACTTCAGCCCCATAACCGGCGGGGGGGGGGGGGGGTAGCCCCCCCATCCTTCCACTCTGAGCGGGAAGTAAGATGCAGTTTGGGCGGTGCAGGGACAATCCCGGAAACTGTCTTCAAAACCCCCAAGACCCTCCTTACTATGGCAACAGAGTCACCTAACAGTCCACCTAGCTGCCTACTTGTGCCTCCAATCCATAATCAGCAATCAATAAACAAATCTCCTGCCCCCGGTGTCTTACAGAGCACACAGGGCACTCTGAGCGGGAAGTAAGATGCAGTTTGGGCGGTGCAGGGACAATCCCGGAAACTGTCTTCAAAACCCCCAAGACCCTCCTTACTATGGCAACAGAGTCACCTAACAGTCCACCTAGCTGCCTACTTGTGCCTCCAATCCATAATCAGCAATCAATAAACAAATCTCCTGCCCCCGGTGTCTTACAGAGCACACAGGGAGGCCACATGGGGGCAGCAAAGTGTCACGTGTGAGTCCACCGCTCGAATAAAGGGTTAAAATCCCAATTTATTCAGGTCACTATCAAAACGGGGGTGTCAGGCACGGGACTGGAGCGGAGATCCTGGTGCCAGTTCGAGGTTATACCCCTGCTCCGTCCCCCCCCCCAAAGTGACCCACCTCCAGCGAATGCAATGAAAGTGCTCAGAGCCCATTTAAAGCGGTCCCCATGCTCACCAATGGGCAGAGCCACACGGGGCAGGAAAGTGTCACATTTGACCACGAATCTGGAATCCGGGAAGGAAAATCCACATTTATTCAGGTCACCTTCAAACCTGGGCTGTCAGGCCAGGGACTGGAGCCGAGATCCTGGTGCCAGTTCTCGGTTATACCCCTGCTCCGTCCACTCAGCGTGACCCACCTCCAGTGAGTGCAATGAAAGCGCTCGGAGCCCAGTTAAAGTGTCACAAACCCTCCTGCCAGCGTGCGGTTATCGGGAAAAGAGCATCGGCCAAAACCCCTCCAGAAACAGAGCCCCTTGTCCTTGGGAATATCAGGCTGAGATTTGCTAAGATCTCTAGGGGATCTTAATGAGAAATCCCCGCCCTTAATAAGGCAATAGGGACACCTAACCGCCTACCTACCTACCAACCTATACTACCGATTAATAATCAATAACCAATAAGCAGACACCAATAATTAATAACGGTTGAGTTTGGGACGCATCACGCTTAAGTGTGTGGGGGTTGGAACAGGGAAGGGTGCGGAATAACTGGAGTCCCAGGGCCCAAAATTCGATTTCTTCGGCGCCTGCTTTGTTTACACGAATGAACGGACACGAGAAACTAATGAGACAGACTGGAGCGGGGTGAGAGAGTTTAATTCACTGTGGGGTTTTGTGTTTTCCTCCTTTGCATCAACAGAGCAAAGTGTGTGCGGGGGTGGGGGGGGGAGAGGGAGACAGACAGACGCACT